TCTGACAATGGAAAACGGCTTCGTCTCTCGATCCATCCATCCATCCATCCAGCCAACCAACTATGCGTTCAGTGGGCCCCTGTCCAGTTTCGAGGCGCCTCAACACACACACGCCTCCATGCGTCGAATCCCATGTGTCCCTCGTGTCCCTCATGTCCCCATGTCCCCATGTCCCCATGTCCCCATGTCCCTCATGTCCCCATGTCCCCATGTCCCCATGTCCCCATGTCCCCATGTCCCCATGTCCCCATGTCCCTCATGTCCCCATGTCCCCATGTCCCCGTGTCCCCATGTCCCCATGTCCCCATGTCCCACGTGTCCCACGTGTATGACTCCCATGTGTTCCACCCCCACTATCCGCGCCAGCAGCGCCGAAAGCATTGAGCGAGCCAGTAGCGGTGAAAGACCCTTGGGTTGGGAGAGTCTGGTTTGTTACCAACCTCTCCCCCGATCCGCTCTTCCTCTTCCCGTCGTCCCCACTTCCCCCCACACACCAGGACCGGCAGCCAATAACAGAGGCACACCTGCGGCTGGCCAGGGAGCACAACCGCTTTGTGTATCGCCTGCTCGGCAGGTGAGCGCGCCATCCATGCACGCATGCCCTCGTGCTGCCATATACGCATGGCCCCACGTACCCATCACACACATTGGTGCACGTGGGGTACATCACATCGGTGCACGTGGGGTACATCACATCACACCACCCCTGCCCTTCCCCCTCCCCTTCCCCTTCCCCTCTCCATCCACCCGTGTGCCCCACAGGTCCAGGATCCGGTGTGTGCACCACGCGTTGGGATGCGGGTGGACGGGGGAGGTGTCAGAGGACCGATCGCACCGGGCCACGTGTCCCAAGGAGCGAGTGGCGTGCACTCACTGCAGCGCTGCCGTGCGTCGGGACCACTTCACTGCCCACGCTGCCTCCTGTCAAGTGTGCAGGGTACGATCTGCTGAAGTTGCTTTTGTATTAACTCAAGAGCCACCATGAGGCGTTTCAAAAGCTGCCTCCTGTCAAGTGTTCCGGGTACGATCACCTGGTGTTTTCTCTCGTCCCGTCTTGTCTTGTCTCGTCTCGTCTCGTCTCGTGCCTTTCCATGACTTCTCGTCTTGTCGCATCGTGTCTTGTCCTCCAGGTATCCTCACTCAAGGACTTCTGTGGTTGCTTATTCTGCTTGTCGAGTGTTCGCCCTCTGTCTCGGCTGCTCGCAGAAATGCAGTGAGAAGGACGCTCAGATTGCCACATTGCTGCAGGAGAAGCTGGCAGTTTCCAAGAAGTTTCTGGAGGTGTCGGAGTCACTGCGAGCCAAGCAGGTGTGGAGTGCGGGTGTGGGGTGGGGATGGAGGGGTGCGACTGACAAGGCGTTGTGTGATTGCACACAAAGCCTTATATACACTTCTGCAATCTTGTAACAAATATTCAATCATGTCCCAATCATCGTTGGATATTGTAACAGTGGCGCATTCAACAACAGTCATGCGAGAATCCAACAAGCATTTCTTTTCCACTTTCCCCACTTCTTCCCGACCACAGAATCATCCTTCTCTTGCCTTCCCTCTCGCCCACTCCCCCTTTCAGTCCCCTCTAAACCCTGTCACACACCCCCCTCCACATGCCATCCAACCCCAGGCCCAGCCTCTCCGCCCCATTCAGTCCTACCATCGCTACAACATTCTCCCTCTCTAGTCCTAATCCCATATCCCTCTCCTGCCATTGCCTCCATCTCCTCTACCCATGCCCTCCACCCCCAGGCCCAGCCTCTCGGTCCCATCCAGTCCTACCACCGCTACAGCATCCTGCCTCTCGCGCACCTCCTCTCCACATGGCTGACCAACCCTCCCACGCACTCCCATCCCGATCGCAACCTGGTCTTTGAGAGCGTAAAGCGCTGCCACGACGACGCGCAGCGCGTCAGATATGAGGACCCGTGTGGGTTTGACAGCCAGCTGCTGCTGCTGCTGGCGGCTGCAAATGCCACGGAATGGTTCTCGGAGAATCAGAAAGGTTGCATCCGGCGGTGGCTGTGGGAGGTTTCACAGCAGCACTTGATGTGAGGGGGTATCTCAGTTTGGGTCATAAGGTCACTTGGGGTCATCAAAGCCCACTTTGGGTCATAGTAGGACCAATGGTATTCCAATAGTGTAGCTGAAATGCGCCTTATTGGTCGTCCAAGAATCTTGGATGACCCAAACAGTGCCCATGACCCGAACCGAGATACGCCCTGAGTGTGTGCTGTGGGGGGAGTGGGGGGGAGGGCGAGAGATTAGAGAGCGTTTGGGCTGAAGGAAACTGGGAAGAGTGTTTTTCTCTGTTTTAGGAAAGACAGATTCAGCCGTTTGGGTTGGAGAGCCAACCCTAAACCCTAAATCCAGGGTCATGTGTTTGTCATTCCTCCTCCCTCGCCCTCTCTTTTCATCTGTTTCTCCCCCATCTCACTCCCTTCCCCCCCCCACTTCCTTTCACTCCCCATTTGTCAGTGCCGAGCCTGTCGAACATTACTTCTAACCAGTGACCACCCTCTTCCACCGCCTCACCCTCGCTTTGTTAACATATCCTCGCACAACCCTCCATCCAACCATTGCTCTACTTATTTGCAGCCGCAATACAGCTGCTGCTGCTGTCTGATCCTAGTCCAACCAACCCAACCCAACTTCTAGGCACAGCAATATAGACTCCTTTCTTGGGGTCCAGTTCACATCGTGAGTCACCTCGAGTCCCCAGTGCAGCCTTTGACAGGAACGGGGCTGTGGTAGGTTGTGGTAGGCTGTGGTAGCCTGTGGTTGGCACACCCCTACCCAGCGATATGTCTGCTGGGTTGGAACTTGGTGGGGCTTCCATGCCAGCCATTTCTAACAGTATCTTGTTGGGTATATTTACATGTTAACAGATTACAACCACCAGCCAAAATTGTCAAACTATAATGCTGCTCATGTTGTGTAGGTTGTAGTGGGGTAGTCTATATAGGGTTCAACCTAATTAGGGTTAGTACTTGTACTCAGTTTCATGTCAATCCAACTATTCCTGTTCGTTAGTTTTTGACATGGTTTCAGAGCAGTAGGCTCGTTAGACCGTTTTTTTCGGGCCCACCATTACCTAGTGATCGACTACGGTTGCTGCGTTACCCTACGCCTTGTCTGCACTGCGCCGTCAGCGCGCGCCCTTCCCTGCCCTGCCTTGCGTCTCACTGCCCATGTACGCCCTGCCCTGCCCCGCGTCGCGCTGCCCCGAGCACGCCCTGCCCTGAACTACGTCGCGCTGTCCCGCGCACGCCCTGCTGCAGCCCGCACGTCGCGCCCTGCTACCCAACGCGCCGCACCCTGCTGCAGCCCGCACGTCGCGCCCTGCTACCCTGTGCGTCACGCCCTACGGCGGCCCGCGCGTCGCCCCTTGCTGCCCTACGCGTCGCACCCTACGGCAACCCACACGTTGCGCTCTGCTGCAGCCCGCGCGTCGCGCCTTGCTGCCCCGCTCGTCGGACCCTGCTGCAGCCCGCGCGTCGCACCTTGCTGCAGCCCCGCGCGTCGCACTTTGCCTCTCCGCAGCAGAATGGGGTTGCTGAGCGCCGCATTGGCTTAGTCATGGAGGTCGCTCGTACCTCCATGATCCATGCGGCTACTCCCCATTTTCAGTGGCCGTTTGCGGTCCGGTACGCTGCGCATCAGCTCAACTTCTGGCCCCGTGTCTTCTTGCCGGAGACCTCGCCTACACTGCGTTGGACGGAGAGGTTGGCGATGCATCGGTGTTCCGGGTCTGGGGCTATCGTGCCTTTGTCCGTGATACCTCTGCGGACAAGCTCTCCTCGCGCGCCGTTCCCTGCGTCTTCCTTGGCTTTCCCCCTGACGCGCCTGGCTGGCAGTTTTACCACCCCACCTCGCGCCGTGTCCTTCCCTCTCAGGACGTCACGTTCGATGAGCCGGTTCCCTTTTACCGTCTCTTCCCCTACCGCACTGCCCCTCTCCCCCCCCCGCCGCTCTTCCTCGCTCCAGGTCCCCTTCCGGTAGACCCCCTCCCCCCTCAGGGTCCTGCTCCTTCAGGTGTGTCTCAGGTAGACCCACTCCCCTTGGTTGAGCCTGTCGAGGTGACTCTGGTGGTGCTCGGGGTGCTGCATCTAGGGGTGTTGAGCCTGCCGTTGCGGAGCCTGAACGTGCGGAGTCTGGAGGTGATGCGCCTGAGCGTGCGGAGCCTGGGGGTGCTGAGCCTGAGCGTGCGGAGCCTGGAGGTGCTGAGCCTGCGAGTGCGGAGCCCGGGGGTGCTGCGTCTGAGCGTGCGGAGCCTGGGGGTGCTGAGTCTGGGGGTGCTGAGCCTAGGGGTCCTGCGTCTATACTACGGGAGCCTCTCTCACCACAGCAGTTGCAAGAGTGGTACGCTCTGCGCTGTAGCCTTCGAAGTGGCGCTGCTAGAGCTGGAGGCCCTGGAGCTGCTAGTGCTGGAGGTGCTGGTGATGCTGGCACTGCTGGTCCCGGGGGTGCCCATGCTCGTGGCACTGGAGCTGCCGGAGCTGGTGGTGCTGCTAGTGCTTGAGGTGCTGGGGGTTGTGGAGTTTCTGGAGCTGCTGGAGCTGGTGGTGGTGCTGCTGCTCGAGGTGCTGGAGCTGCTAGTCTCGGAGGTGCTCGTACTGGTGGTACTGGAGCTGCTGGAGCTGGTGAGGGTGCTACTAGTGCTGGAGGCGCAGGAGCTACTGGTCTTGGGGGTGCTCGTACTGGAGGCACTGGAGTAGCCGGAGCTGGTGGTCCTGCTGCTACTGGAAGTACTGGAGGTGCTGGAGCTGCTGGTCCCAGAGGTGCTCGTGCTGGAGGTACTACAGGTGCTGGAGCTGCTGGTCCTGGAGGTGCTTGTGCTGGAGGCACTAGAGCTACCGGAGCCGGTGGTACTGCTGGTGCTGAAGGTACTGGAGCTGCTGGAGCTGGTGGTGCTGACTGTGCTGGAGGTGCTGGCGCTGCTCGTAATGGATGTTCTGGAGGTACTCTCTCGCCGCAGTAGCTACGCGAGTGGTACACTCAGCACTGCCGCCTTCGGCGTGGCACTGCTAGGGCTGGAGGGACTGCAACTGGAGACGCGGGAGCTGGAGGTACTGGAGCGGCCGGAGCTGGTGGTGCTGCGGACATTGGAGCTGTAGGCACTGGAGCTGGTCACCCGGGAGCTGGAGGTGCTCGAGCTGGAGTTTCTACAGCTGCTGGAGGCCCTGGAGCTGCTGATACTAGTACTGGAGGTGCTGGTGCTGGAGAAGCTGGTGCTGGTGGTGCTGCACAGCCGCGACTGTTCTTCGCTCCGCCGTCACCGTCGTCTCTGCCACCGCCTGGCTCGGTGCTTCGCCAGGTCCTTAGTCTCCCGTCTTTTACTGGTCTCCCATTACAGCCAGGCTCCCCACAGCCTGCTCCCTCTCCTTACACCTAGCAGACCGACTCGCTTACAGAGCGTCGTGAGCCTGCGTCTCATCCTCCCTTGCCTGTTCGTCGTGTTTCGCGTCAGCGTCCTCCTCCTGTCCCTGGCACGCACCATATGGCACTTCGTCCTTCCTCTGTTCCACAGCGTGTCCCTCTGCCGTCTCCTCCTGCGTCCTCTCTTGCTGACGGACCCAACCCTGAGTTTGACCTCATTCGTACTGCCAGTCCTACTGTTACTCGTCTCTTAGCCACTATTATCACTGACCTTTCGTTTGAGTTTGCTGCTGCGTCTGCCTTAGTCACTGAGCTTGTTGACTTAGCTGCTGCTTGTCGTCTCGACTACGCCGCTAGTTTTGTTACTGAGTCTGAGTCTGTATATCCTCCGTCCGTCGAGGGTGAGTGTGCTTTTGGCACGGACGTCCTTCAGGACAGGCAAGAGGACTTTGAGTGTCTTGCAGCCACTGTACCTCATCTCGTGTCCATGCTGCCTGCCCTTGAGGGAGACCCGGATGCACTAGACATCCCGACCCCGCGCCCTTACGCAGAGGCGATTTCGGGTCCCTACTCCTCTCAGTGGCAGACAGCCATGGACACAGAGATGGCATCCTAGAAGTCCACAGGCACTTACGTCAACGCAGCTCCCCCTCCTTGGGAGAACATAGTCCATGGCATGTGGATTTTCAGGGTGAAGTGGCCGCCGGGTTCTCCGCCTGTCTTCAAGGCTCGTTACGTTGCATGAGGCTTCAGTCAGCGACAGGGAGTTGACTTTTTCCAGACTTTCTCCCCTGCCCCAAAGATGACCACTCTTCGGGTGCTGCTGCACGTTGCCGCTCAGCGTGACTATGAGCTTCACTCTCTTGACTTCAGCACGGCTTTCTTACAGGGCAGCCTGCACGAGGAGATCTAGCTGCGTCGTCCACCTGGCTTCATTGGGTCGTTTCCTGCAGGTACCCAGTGGAGCCTCCGGCGGCCGGTCTACAGTCTACGCCAGGTGCCTCGTGAGTGGCACGACACACTGAGGACTACACTTGCGGCTCTTGGGTTTGCTCCCTCTACTGGCAACCCGTCGCTGTTTCTGCGCACCGACACTTCGTTGTTGCCGTTCTACATCCCCGTGTACGTCGACGACTTAGTTTTGGCCACTGCTGACACTAAGGCACTCGCCCTTGTGAAGTCGGAGCTGTAGAAGAGACACACGTGCACAGACGTGGATGAACTATGCATCTATCTTGGCTTGCAGATCATCCGGGAAAGTGCACAGTGCACCATCACACTGACCCAGTCACACATGGTGCAGCAGGTCCTTCAGCGCTTTGACTTCACTTGGTCCTCGCCACAGTCCGCTTCTCTGGCTACCGGTCACTCGCTCTCAGCTCCACCTTTGGACGAGTCCGTAGAGCAGAGTGGCCCGTATCTAGAGCTAGTGGGCTGCCTCATGTACCTGATGACTTGCACTCGACCTAACCTTGCAGACCCTCTTGGCCTTCTGGCACGCTACATGGCTTCTGTTAGACATCGAAAGGTGCACCAGGATGTTGCAAAGAGGGTACTGCGTTACTCGTGCAGTACGTCGGGCATGGGGCTCGTGCTTGGAGGGCGGGGTCCAGTTGTCCTCACTGGACACTCAGACACTTCTTGGGTTGATGACCTTGCTATGCAGTGGTTGTCTCAGGGTTACACGTTCAGCCTTGGCAGCCTTGGCTTTGTTCTCAGCTTCAGTTGTGTGGATGAGATGTACGCGGGAGCCATGGCTGCACAGAAGTTACGCTGGCTCACCTACGTGCTGACCGACTTGGGACATCGGCCTCGTGTCAAACTCATATCATACAGCTTGTCTAGGCTATAGTGGGGTAGACACTATGGGGTACAGTTTCCTAGGGTTTCCTACTTGTACCCAACCTTGTGCTAGTTCATTCATTCCTCATTCTTCACATGATATAGAGCAGGTTCCCTCGTGGGAACGCTTCTCAGGGCCCACCACCTAACTCGACCTTTTTTTTCCTGCCCGAGGCGTGCCCCGTAGGTCGCCCTTACGTTGCGCCCTCCTAGAGGCCCCTCGCGCCACCCTTAGCGGCCCCGTCGCCGTCCTTAGCGACCCTGTCGCCGCCCCTCTAGGCCCCT